GCATGACGATGATGGATACCATTCGCTCCTGTCGCATGATCCCCATGGTAAGACATTTTGGTGGTTGTAGATGGTCTGTACCATTTCATGTGGGGATTGCACAGACAATCCAAAGTCCAAAGAGGTAGCTGCTAGGTCAGCTGGACCTGGGACGGACTGCATTTCTCATGATTCATGTCTTTTTTTCCCGCTTTTAGCACAGGGGACAGTTCAGGATGAGGATCTATGAAAGAGAGAACTTTGGAGGGCAGATGCACGAGCTGATGGATGACTGCGAGTCCCTCCAGGAACAATTTTATATGTCTGACTGCCAGTCCTGCAACGTGCTGGACGGCCACTGGCTGATGTTCGAACAGCCCAATTTCAGAGGGCGCATGATGTACGTGAGGCCAGGAGAGTACAGGAACCTCAGAGACATGGGAGTGAGCAACATAATGAAAATCAGCTCCATCAGACGCATCATGGAAATGTGCTGATTGTCTGTCCGTTCACAAGAAACTCTGGGAGAAAAATAAAAACAACGAAATATTTTTGAAGTATCTCTTTTGCTTCATGTGTGGAGTCAAAGATGCAAACGTCATGCTTTATATCCTTTAAGATAAACTTCTATGTTTATCATAACCTTACAGCCTTAATCAGGACTATTTTCCCTGGCATTTGTGCACATTCAACAAAATACTAAATGCCATCACAACTTTAGATAGATAGATAGATAGATAGATAGATAGATAGATATAATTTTATTTCGAACATGCCAATATAATTGAAATAACAGAAAAAAAGAAAACAAAAAAACAAAACTTAAAAATCATCAAGTTTCATGTATATATCTTTGTCTACAGAATGCGTGTGCTCGAAAAGGAGTAGGATGAAGTTTACACTTTTCTTGTTCCTACCCCCTTATTTCAAATTTCATTGCTTACAAATCCATATCCAGGATTCAACATTATTTGATCATATATGGTTAACTATGTACAAGTCGAACACATTGAACATATGAACATAAAAACCATTTTCAGCACGTAAACCAGAACAACAACAAACTACATTTTTACATAAACTAATCACCCTGTCTATAACACCCGCTTAATCTCTGAGCTTGTTTTATATCTATGTGACAAACACCTTAATAAACACACAATGAGACAACTCAGTCACTGAGAGGAAGATTTCCTATATTTATGCAATTTCCCTGCTCTAACACACCAGCTGTGTTAGAGCAGGGAATTCCAGGCCTTGAGGGCCTGTGTCCTGCAGGTTTTAGATCTCACCCTGGGTCAACACACCTGAATCAAATGATTAGTTCATTCCCAGGCCTCTGGAGAACTTCAAGACATGTTGAGGAGGTAATTTAGTCATTTAAATCAGCTGTGTTGGATCAAAGACACATCTAAAACCTGCAGGACACCGGCCCTCGAGGCCTGGAGTTCAACACCCCTGACTTAAATGCTTATGTAGCAAAGCGCCGCTGTTGCTCTGTTGTTATCTCAGTTATAGATAATTGACGTGGACACAAAGATAACATATAAAAATGACCATGATGGTCTAATGTAAACGCCATTTGTAATACAGCACATCACAGCATCACCGAGCTACTTTAATGCTCCGTTTTAATTGGGTATTGGCTATAATCAACATATCAATCAAAATATTATTACAGCTATGAGAAAAATAAATGTTCCATAGGACTCTGTACAATCGTTTTAAAAATGAAGTACACCCCATGATTCAGCGGCAATAACTTGAAGTAATTATTTAATGTATGACTTTATCAGCGTCTGGCATCATTGTGGAGGAATTGTGGCCAACTCTTCTTTTAAGTGTTGCTTTAGTTCCTTTGTTTATGCATTTGGTTACGCATCGTTCTCTCAGTGTCACAGCATTTTCATCAGGTTACGGTCTGAACTTTGGGTCTTGCAACACCTGCATTCTTTTCTTTTTCAGTCATTCCTTTGTACATTTAGGGGTGTGCTTCAGATCACTGGTCCTCGTGTACTAATATGTTAAATCCTGTGCAAAAAAGAGTTTCCATGTAAAATTACTGTCAGATTTAGGACACATATGCACTGGTGACTATGAGTTTACCTGGAGATGAAGTGAAGAGAGTGGTGACTATGATGTAGGAGGGAAGGGAGAGAAACCTAAAATATTAGTGTCCAATGGTCCAATGGTTCAGAGGTCCAATGAGTAATACAGAAATGGGAAAGCTTTCCAAAGTGTTTCCATAGGAGTGATGATCATTTATGAATAAATAGAAAACATTGGGTTTGGGTTGAAATAGCAGGAATGGTGATGATTGTTTCCCTGAGACAGTCAACGTGGCTCAAGTGAAAACATACAACAATGAAAAAATGAAAAACCTTTGGATTCAAAGTTAACATGAATAACGACAAAATAATTTACAAGAAAAATAAGAAGAAAGGAGGAGGAGGGAGAGCATGTGAGCATGTGAAAATGTGAGCTGTCAGTTGCAGAGACCAAAAAAAATCATATTTGCCAACATCAGTGAGATAATGCTAAGAAATACAAAGGTAAGAGATGCATCCAGTAATGATAGACATTATTTTTGATTAAGATAAAATTAGATAAAGAATACTAGATATTTAAATTAAAAAGGTTCAGTCCTGATAAATCACTGATGATTTACACTCACACCTGTGCATATGCACTGTTAATAAATGAAGGCTAATGAACTAACTTGCACTTCTATGCTGATGATGCAGTTATTTACAGCTGTGGTTCAACTCTTGTCCAAGCCATTGACTCCTTGCAGAAAGCCTTTTTTGCTTTCCAGCACTCATTACTTCAGCTTAAACTTGTTCTCAACGCAGACAAAACAAAGCTCATGTTGTTTTCTAAATCAAGGAGAGGAGCCCAAACAATCCCATCAGTAACCACTCTTGAAGGTAATAAAATAGAGTTGGTTCACACCTATAAATATCTGGGAATCTTAATTGATGACTCGCTTACCTTCAAACCACATGTAGAGAATCTTGTGAAAAACCTGAAGTTAAAACTGAGATTTTATTTTCAAAATAAGTTGTGTTACAAAGAAGCGGCTTGTTGCTGCAACATTCTTGCCTGTGCTGGATTATGGTGATATTCTATATATGAATGCTTCTGCTCAATGTCTTCGAATGGTTGATTCTGTGTATCATGCTTCTCTAAGGTTTATCACTAACCGTAAATTTCAGACTCACCACTTTGAGTTATACTCTCAGGTAGGATGGCCTGCTTTGGTAAGTCGGAGGAACTCTCATTTATACAGTTTTATATATAAGGCGATACTTGGGTTGCTGCCTTCTTATTTATGTTCCCTGCTTGTAATGAAACATGCTGGTCGGTATTCTCTTCGTCCGCATGGTTACTTGTTGCTTTCTGTTCCATTTGCCCGAACTGAACTTGGTAAAAGAGCTTTTGTCCATTTAGCACCCTCAGCTTGGAACAAACTGTAGAAGGAATGGAAAATGACTGAATTTATTTCATTAAGTGCTTTTAAATCTAAACTACGAATCCTTGAGGCCAAGTCCATAACATGCAACTGTTTCAATTAGATTGATTGTCATTTTAACTTATTTTTTTTTATTTTTTTTATTTGAATTTTATTTTATTTTATTTGTATTCTTTCACTTATTGTTGCATGTGTGTTGTTGCTGCCTGTGTTTGAGTAATTTCTGTAACTGTGAGACACCTGCTGCTGCCTATCTTGGCCAGGTCTCCCTTGAAAAAGAGGTTTTTAATCTCAATGAGATTTTCCTGGTTAAATAAAGGTTAATAAATAAATAAAAATAACTTTGACAGTTTTAGCTGTCAGACACATGAGCTCACTTTTGACTGAAATGCTTTGGCCTACAGAGGAGTTAATGTTCAATTCAGTGACTGCAAGTTAGCCAGTTCCTGTAGCTGCAAAACACCCAAACCTTGACTGTTGGTTTGAGATGTTTGTGCTGATATACTATGTTTGGTTTTTGTCACATGTGTGCATTGTGGCTTAAACATTTCCACTTTGGGAGATGCTTAATCCATACTTGTTCAGCGTTTGTCTAATTGAACTTTAACATTTGACATGCTAACCGAAGGAGATGGTAAATGGTAAATGGACTGATTCTTATATAGCGCTTTTCTACTCTCACGGAGTACTCAAAGCACTCTATACAACATGCCTCACTCACCCAATCATACCCATTCTCACAAGCACTTTATCTACACTTAGTGCTTTCTAACGACATTCATACACATTCATACTCCGATGGATGCATCGGAGAGCAAGTTGGGGTTAGTATCTTGCCCAAGGATACTTGACATGCAGACTGGAGGAGCCAGGGATCGAACCACCGACCTTCCGATCAGTAGGTGACCTGCTCTACCTCCTGAGCTACAGCCACATGTAGCTGCTTGGCTTTTTGCAGTTTCTCTGAGCATTGCACGGTCTGACTGCATTTGGTCTGAATTTGGGTCCACTCCTGGGAAACGGTGGCATTGTGTTAACACACACCTGAATGCTCGAGACCAGCGACCTATCAAAATCTCTGCTTTTGCGTAAGTGCTCACACTTTCAGTGATCAGTCACCCTGGATTGAATAAGCAGTTAAAAGAGTGGATGGACTCTATTGTTTCAGTCTTGCCATAAAATTAAATGCAAAGTCTGTCCTGTTTATGGTGTGGAAAAAAAAGAAATTAAAAAATGCACTATTTCGTCTTTCAAATATTATATATTTATCCGAAAATCTAAGCTTTTTTTCATCTTTAAACACTATTATTCACTGCTCTACACATATATGTGTCCTATAATGAAAAAGATGTTTGCTTTGCCGCCATTAAATCTGCAAAAGTTAAATCTCAGTAATTGCAGTGTTCACAGTTTGATGTGTAGTACAGTAGAGACTTCCATACTGATGAGCTGACTCAGTCATTCTGTACAATTGAGGCAGATTCTTTGGATGTCACATGATGCATAAAAGGCAGCGCGCCAGTGAGAAAAACAACAGAAATCAAATCGTGTGACCATGAGTGGAAAGGTAATGCAGGGTACAGATCCCTGCAGCAGCTAGTGTGGGACATTGAACTCTATATATACTGTGTCAAACTCAATAGTATTTTTATTCTGTAACTTCTGCCGTGCAGCACTGTCTGATATGACTTACTCTTACGATAATCTCAGACACTCTGAACACTCTCTCTCTGGAAATAGTCTCACACAAACACAATTTGTGTCTTTTTCTCTAGATCATCTTCTTCGAGGAGTGTAACTTCCAAGGCCGCTCTTTTGAGTGCGTCAGCGACTGCTCTGAGATTGCCTCTCACTTGAGCCAATGCAACTCCTGCAGGGTGGAGAGCGGGACATTCATAGTCTATAACCAGCCCGACTTCATGGGCCAGCAGTACCTCCTGACCAGGGGAGAATATCCCGAATGCACGAATACCTTTGGCTTCAACGACTGCATTCAGTCCTGCCGCATTGTCCCTGCGGTAAATATAATATAATCATTTGTAAAGATGAGGACAGTCAGCAATGTAAAGGATCAGTTTGTTGAATTCATGTGTAACCCATTAGATGAGAAGTGCAACTTCCTTGTCTGAAGCAGAGGATATGTGTTCTATATATGTCCAGCATATAGCTTCTATCACGCATTTTTATCTCTTTTTTATCTCTCTTTCCAGAAACATAATTTATGTTTCTATAAAGCAATTTGCCACAAATGTGAATGTAGCCTACCACAGTCCTTAAAACCATAGAAAAAGTGCATAAAGTAACCAAACAGTCTAAACTTGAGCTAAAAAATTGATTGTTTTTGACACACTTATTAGTCATGAATGAACATTTTGTATCAAAGCTGTTTTATGTATAGATCTTATAGATCTAGCCTATAAGATCTGCTACCTGTTAGCATGCTACCTAGCAAGAGCTTAAGGACTTGTGTTACATTTTTCAAATGACAACTTTCCAGAACTACTATTAAGATTCCCACGTGACACAGCAGCACACACATTCTTCAACAAAGTTAGCATATAGCTTATTCCCATTTCCTTTCCAGGCCTAAAGCAATTTTTGGGTACCTCTGCATTAGCATTAGCTGGGTACATTTGTTTTGAACTGCAAAACAACGATTTCACTCCTTTAAAATATATACTTTTTATAACTTTTACAGCACAAGGGACTTTTTAATATGAGGATCTATGAAAGACCAAACTTTGAAGGCCAGATGCACGAACTGACAGATGACTGCAACTCCATCCAGGATAACTATCACATGTCGAGCATGCAGTCCTGCAACGTGATGGAGGGCTACTGGTTGATGTTTGAACAACCAAATTATGAGGGCCGGATGTTTTTTCTGAAGCCAGGAGAGTACAGGGACTTCAAAGGAGTCGGCAGTAATGACATGAAATTCAATTCAATCAGACGTATCACAGAATCTTAACTGTCCCATGACTTTTATTTGGCTAAAAGGTTTTGCAGATGGTTTGTTGTATTAATATTAACAAATTCTCAAAGGCAAAAAAGAGAAAGCTTTGTTTTATCCTGAAACTGTGTTTTGTGCATTGTTTGAATGTAGTTTCAGCTGTAATGTATAATTTACTGTGAACTGACCTCTTTTATTGTGTGGTGCACATAATAAATAGACTGGACACAGATCTGTGTAAGTTGTTTTTCAACTCAGTCCTCAATCAAAATAAATAGCTGATTTACCCAATCATATATGTACATTCACAGTTCACATATTGATGGTTCTAAATCTTTAAACCCACTTAAATAAATACATTATAATTTTCTATATATATATTTTTTTTATTTAACACAACTTTGCTAAAAACAAGGGCAAACCAGTTTTATATTTTGAATATTAAGTAACTAACACCTTTTAGCAATCTTTTTTGATATTTCTGGTAGAACAATTGCTCTCATTTGCATAATATACAACTTTACATACAATACTTACATTCCCTACTTTATTAACCATCTATCATCTATTTTTCAGTTTTCACTCTACTGGATAACTGTATTAGGATTATATGAATGGTTCTTCTTAATGTCCTTAAGTTTTTGTTTGATAGAAGGGAAAGTATTTTATAAGGGTTGAATTCTGATAGACCCATTGTTCACTGACTAAGTTACACCAGTAATATTAGTATAGTAAAACAAACTGCCTGAACAAGCTAACCCCTATATGAAAAAGATCAAGTGTTGCACTTCTGGCAAATGTGGGTTTTTACTGCAATAAAACTTTACAGAAATATGTTTTATAGACTTTACAACTTTGCAAGGTTCTGAGATATGAATAATTACAATGTCACAATAAGCCTCTTGCAGTTAAAATGCATGCTGTACACCATATATATATATATATATATATATATGCATCTATAATCATATAGTAATTATAGTCATCTATATGTATATATAGATGACTATAATCATGATTAAGACTATAATCATGCTTTAAATTAGGCAATACTACTTTGACACAATGCTCCTAATCCACAGTATAGACACTGATTCATATGTAAATAAATTAATAATGATTTAATTGTCGTATGACAAGCAAAGAAATCAAATAATCCTAACAATACAGATTCAAATGTATTGATGCATTAATAATAGCACGTTATACTTGATGCTGTATCTCCATTGCATTAAATAATCTCAGAGTGTTTTAAACATCGTATCGGAAAAAGCTGATAAGAACCAAACAAAAGCACAACAGACAAGAGGTTATTTAAAACAACTTGTTTGCTGACATAAAAAAAGCGGTTGAATTGTTGGACCTATAAAAGGCTGCTGCCACTTTGCACAAGGCTGCAGCAGTGGCAGCTGAAAGTAGTACCATGTGAAAGATGTTCACTGCAGCTTTCATCAATTTTACAAATGCATCATTTTTGCTGTTAGCATTAACATTGATACATTTAATTATACGCAATGTGTAAAATGTGTATCCTAACACACGTGAATGTAATTCGGTGATATGTCTATATACCATCTTTCACCATTCCAGTGTAAATACTGTATATGTTTAGGGATTTGTTGACAATAGTTGTTGGTATTTTTAGTTTAGTTGTGGATTTTATGTGTAGGCCATTAAACAAATGCAAGGGGCAGTTTCGGCTCAGAAAAAAACAGCTGATTTGCACTGCAGACCTCACCAAACAAAGCACAAGAAAAAAATATGTTCTGTGTGAAAAAGCTGACCAGCCCAGTTATTGTTCTCAATCACAATGACACAGGTCATCCATGGGTTATAAAGGCAGCCTGGAGCCCACGGCTGCTGCTACAGTGTGACAAAAGTTAGCCGACACAATGGGTAAGGTAAGGATACCTTTAAAAAAAAAAAAAAATCCTGTTCCTTTTGTGCTTCTGCATACCTGCATGGACTATTCATCGAAAACCAGTGATGCAGAACCACTTCACGTGTGGTATTTTTAGCAAAATGTCTTTAATTTAATCGAGCGTGCATCCAATTTACCGAAAATCCCTGAATAAACTTCTTTCAGATCATTTTCTATGAGGACAAGAACTTCGAAGGTCGCTCTTATGAGTGCAGCAGCGAGTGCGCTGACCTACATTCCCACTTTAGTCGCTGCAACTCCATCAGAGTGGACAGTGGTAACTGGATGGTCTATGAGAGACCCAACTACATGGGCTACCAGTACTTCCTGAGGAAGGGCGAATATCCAGACTACCAGCGCTGGATGGGATTCAACGACTGCGTGAGATCCTGCCGTATGATCCCTATGGTAAGTCTCAGTTGGGCATTTTTGTATTAAAGGTTTCACTGGTCTACACTGATGATTGTATTCATCATTTCTGCAGCACCAAGGCACTCACAGACTGATGATCTACGAACGCCCAGAACTTGGAGGACAGATGATGGAGCTGACAGATGACTGCCCCTCCCTGTATGAACGCTTCCATTTCAATGACATCTACTCCTGCAACGTAATGGATGGCTACTGGATCTTCTACGAGCATCCTCACTACAGGGGACGGCAGTACCTGATACATCCTGGTGAATACAGGAGGTTTCATGAGTGGGGAGGCATGAGTCCCAGGGTTGGATCCATCAGACGCATCATTATGTGAGAATACCGATGTGAGATATTTCATGTGAAATATTTTAAAAAGTACTACCAATAAATCAAACAAAAGACCAGAGTGGTGTCAGCTGCTTTTTGTTTGTTTTTTTGTTTTTTTCCTGGTTGCTTAAACTTTTTAGAGTCGTCTGGAATATTTAAGGACTGATTGCGTCTCGTTACCTCTGAAGAAAGCGGCATGAAACGGTCTAAGTCACAGGTGTCGAACTCCAGGCCTCGAGGGCCGGTGTCCTACAGGTTTTAGATGTTTCCTTGATCCAACACAGCTGATTTAAATGGATAAATTACCTACTCAACATGTCTTGAAGTTCTCCAGAAACCTGTTAATGAACTAATCATTTGATTCAGGTGTGTTGACCCAAGGCGAGATCTAAAACCTGCAGGACACCGGCCCTCGAGGCCTGGAGTTTGACACCCCTGGTCTAAGTCAACACAAACATTTCTTGTCAAACAAACTATTGTTTTACAAGAAGTTTAAATGTTACAGCAAAAAAATACTTAAACATCAAGGCTGTCTTCTTTTGGATAAAGACATAAACACAAGCAGTTTAAGCCCAGCATATTTATTGAGAAGAGACAAAGGAACAAGGTTCAGAAGGTTTTAATTAAAGTCGGTGATTCGCCTGAGAGAGCCGATCCTTGGACTCGCACCGCCCCAGTCACTGTATCTGCGGTATTCGCCAGGTCTCAGGTAGTAGGTCCTCCCCCTGTAGTTGGGCTGGTCGTACAGCAGCCAGTGGCCGTCTACCACATTGCACGAGTTAATGTCAGACATACGGAAGCGGTCCTGGACGTTGGGGCAATCGTCGCTCACCTCCTGCATTTGGCCGGCCATATCTGGACGCTCATACAACTTGATTTTGTAGGAGCCCCGGTGCTGCAGAACAATGTTTATTAGTCAGACACTATGGAAGAGTAAAACAGTCCATCTAAGACAATCTAATGGAAAAACATCCTTAACCAAAAAGTTCTTCTTCAGTTTATGTTTCTTTTGTGGAGCAGGGACGACCAGATGGTCCCAGCATCGGAGCCAACTGGATTTGGGGAACCAAATATGATGAAGGTTTTGGTCAAACATTAGCTGTCAAGGATTTATATTCTAAAATGTTCCCCAAAACTAAATTTATATCAATTTTATTCGAAGTTGTCTAATAATAATGACAGTTCCTTTACAAAGTTTGTGTTAGAGCTTCTACCTGTTGATCCAAGTCAGCCTTTATTTTACTTTAGCTTCTTCCATTTTGTTACTTTGAGTTTTATTAATAATTTATTGAGCTCATACATGTCTTCTTTCTTTGACCTTGCTTTGTACTCCAATAATTCAACAATTCAGCATGCCCACTTCTAAATAATATTAACTCATTGCATCTTTAATACAATCTTATGCTTACCATGGGAATCATGCGACAGGAGCGAATGCAGTCATTGATTCCGATCATGCGCTGGTTGTCGGAGTACTCCCCCCTGCGCAGGAAGTACTGGTGGCCAAGATAGTGAGGTCTGTCATAAACCATGAAACAGCCGCTCTCCACCCGGATGGAGTTGCAGCGGTTGAAATAGGGGTGCAGGTCAGCACAGTCGCTCATGCACTCATGGTGCCGACCCTGGAAATTTCTGTCCTCGTAGAATATGATCTGCAAATGTATGTCACAGCATTCGCAAATTTTTAGCTCCTTTTTCATTCAAGCTCCTAGCTCAAGGTTAATGTTTTGCTTTGGTTTTTAATTCTGTATTTTCAGTAACATAATAAACTTACCTTTCCCATTGTTATTTTAGTGGGGGCCCGACTGATGCTCAATAGATGCCCTCTGTGCTGCTGTCCTTTTATATAAAGTAGCTGTGTGATGGCACAGCATAAAGTATTGTCATCCAAATAGGTTTTATAAAACAAATCTGGTTATGTATAGCGACGCACTGCAGTGTGATGATGAGTTATTGTTGTCCACTTTTCACACGTTCATCACTATTGATCAAAACACCATAGTTTGCTAGTGCCCCACGGGTCAGTGATCACATTATGTGCAAAACAACTGCGTCCTTCTCATTCAAATAGATTCCTAACTGTACAAATGCCAGGGTCGGAGCAAGTATTTTTCCTGAATTTTGTCATTCAGGGATCCTGGATGGCTTTGAGTGTCCAAAGGCTACAGTTTTTTGTTTGTACCTCAGGCTTTTTTGGATAATCAATAATTTCTACAACGAAAAATGATTAAATGTTGTCATAAACTTGTTTAAGGGGTAATTAAATCTACCTTTACCGTTTTTTAATTGATTTTTTATTTATCTAGCCATAATCACAGAACTGCTGTGGCCCTGAGTGTAATGTAACAAATGTTAGAGCTAAATAGCAAATATAGATACACTAAAGCCTCTACTGAAATTGTGAACATCAGTATTTGTGTTTGTATTGACATCAGCTTTGCTACAGTGCCTAAGTATAGTGTTTAGCTTGGACATTAAGTCATCTTTGCATATATTTCAGTCATTTATGGAAACAGGCTACACTGTTGTTGAATTAATTATTCAATTTTTAGGTTTGCTGATGTTTACTGTGGGTTTTTGAATGGAGGCTTCGCAAAGTAAGCGCTGCCGTGTACACCCCCATTTAGGGCCTATGATAACGCATGCCTGTACGTGATGATAACAGAAACACTAAATCCAAATCCTAACATTTTTATGGTATGGGTCCCACTCTGTTTCCATGAAATGGTTCGTGTTGGGGCAGCTTTAGAAATAAAACTTCAGTAAAGCAGAAATTTACATTACTGCCTGTATTTTCTATTGACATTTGACATTTGTTTCATGTAAAGCTGTTATTCATCCATATTATTTGTCAGTTGATATTATTAATAAAGATTACAGCATTGTATATACACATGATACACAGTATTGACAACAGTTTGTTTACATTTATTTATTTATCTATATAATGGAGGGAAATCCAAGCCAAAGCTTCAGTATGCCAATTTCACTATTGTCCATGTAAGGCCTAAAAGTGACATTATAAAGTATGAAGCAGTTAAAAAATAATAATTATTGATTAATAGGCTGGGAGACTGTGTAGTGTAGTTTGCTCCCTTACACTAAGCTTGAACAGGAGACCTTAAATATGATGCTGTTTGCCACTTTTGGGTCACAGAATCTATTTTAATGTGTTGTAATATGTGTATTACACATATATGAAAGCTTACTTTCAGTTTTACAGCAGGTAAAGCAGATCTTGAAAACTGGAAAAACTCTGAAAGTGACATAAAAACAGTATAATGCTACTTATGCATAGACACACATCTTTTTCTTTTTTAAAACTTCAACCTAAGGTCACGAGACTCCATCTCTTGTTATTCTAATAAGCTGGCATTTTGTTGGCTTTGCCACTCTGCCAAGGCCTTTATCCCATTCATACACATAAAATCCCTGATTCATCAGTGCCAGACTGCTCCATTATTCAGCTCCAATTATCCCATACGGTGGCCACACATATAATGTCTAGAGTTTACAAATCATTCCGAGCATTTAAAAAACTATATTCGTCCCATCTGTGCTAAACTGATGTATGCAGATTTCATATTCATAATGCAAATCCTGTGTTACACACTCAATTTGAAAGATTTGCTCTAAAAGGCACAAAT